GTGGTGATGAGTGAAAAGGATGATGAATAGTGCTTGGAGGGAGGCACTCTAGCGGCGGTTGGGTCTTGGGATTAGGGTTTTTGTGTAGAAGAGAGTGAATAGTGCATTTATACTCCAACATCTGACAAGTGGCATCCTGATTAATGACATGTTTTGACTTAATTGAAATGATTAAACTATTAATTGACAAATGCTGCTAATGATTAAAAGTTGACTTAATTAATTCCAAAAACCTATAACTAAAAAACTTCTAATTAAATAACTAAAGCTAAGCTAATTCTAAAACTAACTTAATAATAACAAAATCTATTTCTAAATTAATTAAAGTTCTATTTTCTATTAAAACAAATATAATAAAATTCTATATTAAATCCTATTTAAATCTAAGACTAATTAAATGAAAGTAAAAATAAAAATAAAAAACTATTTAATGATTCTAAATAAACTTCTATGCCAAAAATTAATAAAATAAATTCTAGAAAACTATTAATAATTCCATAAAAAAAAATCGATGAAAAGAAATTAAAGTAGTAAATGAAAATGCAAGAATGCAACAAAAAAATAGTAAAAGGGCAACCACCGAAATGCGACCGAAACTATCAGCATAGACTGAACCAACAGAAAAAGCAACCCCCGCTCGATTCCGAAACAAAATCTCCTTATTTGAACTGGTTTAAATCGCCTGAAACGCGAGCAAAGCGGCTGTAATCCCGATAAATCACTCTGACTGACAAAATGTACAGTATGCGATAAATGATATGCAGATCCAAATGAAATGAAACATTAGCCAAGTACAAGAAATGGTTGGTCAAATTTTGGGGTACAACACATGCTAACAACCCTGACAATATTGACTAATGCATGTTAGAATAAAATTCAACTACAACACACATTACTCTGACAGCAGCATGCAAACATACTGCGACCTCATACTTAATTCCTGTCGAACCAGAAGCTACCCCTCGACCATACTAGAGTTCGATCCAACATCTCACACACCGAAAAACTTGAACCAGGGTTATTTGATTCTTATTTTCTTCTAGAGAACTTGAACTAAGGTTATCCCATTCTTAATTTTAATGTTCGTAGATTTTATTATTATTATTATTATTATTATTATTATTATTATTATTATTATTATTATTATTATTATTATTATTAGTGGCATGCGTAAAGGACGGGATGAGGATATTATTCGACTAACAGGTGAAGCACGACAACCTCGACAAGCGATGGATGGAGAGGAATATCAAATAGTCGCACTTGAACCTCGTCCACAATAGCCATAATTCCCCAGAGGGCCGTACAATATGTCTACATGAGGTTTTGCTGATGTTGATGATATTACTCTTGCTATTAATTTGTTGGGTGTTTCGTTGGAGGAGTCAGCTGAAGAGGTCCGTAATTGTAGGGGTACTTATTATAGGTTGGATTGATTGAAGGAGGTATTTATGTGTCATCTAGCTGATATAGTATATTTGACTATGTTGTTAGAGCCTATATGCTGTTGTTGGTAGGTTACATCATTTTTGCTGAAAAAACTTTTATTCTTGTAGAGCCAAAGTACTTATTACTATTTAGAGACTTGACTGAATATGGTAGATATAACTAGAGACAAATGCACTTGTCATATTTTATATTTTACATCAATCTTTCAACCAAAACCATCTTTTGATGGTGTTGACCTAATTTTGAATAGGCAACCACATTTATGAGTAGCACTTTGTATTACACTATCTCCTTCTTTACATTTTCCACCTTTATCACAACCAAATATTACTTTGTTACTTCTTCCTCTCTTTCCTGTTTTAGCATTTATTATAACACTATTAGAAATATAAGAGTTGCCTACGGAATTTCTTGCGGCAGAAAATCCGCAGGTATACCTAAGATTACCTGCGATTTATGATTTTAAAGTAACATGTTAATTTTTCTACGGATCTAACTGCGATTTCTTTCGCAGGAATTGGTTATACATGTAAACATCAAAATTCTTTGGAAATTTTGCAGAAATTGCTGCGAAGTTTGCTGTGGAATTTGCTGCGGATTGTTTGTAATTGTTTTTATTTTAAATTAGTTATATTTTACTCTTAATAAATAAAATTATAAAACAGAATTGTCATATTGATTCTAAAGATATGTTTTTGATACATTTTTTAATTTTATATTAAAAAAAAACTATTATAATTGGGTTTTTTAGGTATTTTTCAAAGAAAATTTATTTATTTAATATTTTTTTGTTGTTGTGAAAATCAAAAAAATTAATTTTTTTTAAAGGGTGGAGTTTGATTAGGTATATAAGTCGTCAAGGTGTACATTTTCAAGACCACAGAACTAGGTTGCTTCATAAAATCATACCCGAATGAAAAATCTCCGATCTACACAATCTCCAAACTTTGTTAAAATATTTATATATTTCTTTTAAAACAAATGAAAATTTTAAATATTTTTTCAGAAATATTAATAGGTGTTGTGTATTAATTAAAAAAAAAAAACACTTATTCTATTTTGATACATTAACTTTAAGGATATATTTTAGAATTATTTTTAAATTTAAATTTAATCTCATTGATTTAATATACATTTTGTGTTACAAAAAATTATATTTAATCTCTTGTTAATCATTATAATATTTTAATTTTAGAAATTCTACTTTAATTATAATGTGCTACATGAAGTTATATTTTTGATCTCTAGTTAAAATATTAAATTTTATAAAAAACTTTAAATTTATAAATTAATTTTACTCTTATATATATATATATATATATATATATATATATATATATATATATATATATATATATATATATATATATATATATATATATATATATAATTCCTTATTTTGAATTAAAATAAATTATATTATATTTAATTTATTTTTAGACTATTTTATTTTATTTTATATTTTAGTAGAAATAGAATTTAATAAATATTAAAAGTATTTTAGTTTTATTATTATTTTCCTTTAAATTATTTTATTTTATTTAAGATACTTATTTGATATTTTAAATTGAGTTTGAGAAATAAATGAAGAATTTTTATTTGAGTTTAACTTGAATATGGGCTTGAACTTTCCTTTCCCCAAATTTTCATCATACTCCCACGTGAACTTTCCTTTCCCTGAAACCCTACCGCCGCCGCTACTCATTCCTTCACCACTTTCCGACCACCATGACTCCTAATCGGTGTCGGTCCATGAGTTGAAGATACTGAGGTAGGGATCGGGGAAAGCTGCTCTGAAGGCTAGTAGCGCCACCCTGTCTGACGGTGGATACGACTGAGCGGTGGCGGTGAGTGATAGTATTAATATAAGTACTGTAACGGTTGTAGCTTTTAAAAACTTAATGCTACTCATTGTGGTGGTTGTTATTGGGGAAATATGGAATTTAATTTTAGTATATAGTTTATGATATGCTTATGTTATGCTATGATGATATGAAATGAATTATGGTTTGTATTGAAATGAGAACACTAACAAACAGGTTCGTTTTTATGTATTAAACCCACCCTTTTGAAAAAAGCATGTGCTCTATTTTTCTCTATGCCTCATTATATTTCATATGGTTAGATATTTTGGCTGACACCAAACAGAACTTATGATTTGCCTAACAGTTTGGATCTCTTAGCTATTGATTTGCTTGGCATCAGGGTTTTTTTGTATGACTTATAGCTGTTTGATGAAATGCACAACTTAAACAAAACTTCATTTGTCTCCTGAGTCAGAGGTTCTGTTTACTTGGCAGTGTCACTTCTCATTTGTAAGAGTTGTTTGCACTATGTTTGTACGGTTAGTTTGAAAATGTTAATTAAAATTAATTGTTAATTAGTAGTTAGTTAAATCATAACAGTTAGAATTAGGATTAGTTGTTAGGACAGTTGGTTAATTATTTCATGCTTTGAATTGAATACTATTGGAATTGAAAATGGAACTGTCAAGTGTAACACGACATTGGTTAGAAAAAAAGTTGTTATATGAATTGGTTGGAATTTGAAAGTGGAACTAGAATACCAAGTTTAAAGTTTATGTCTTTCTCTATTTTTTTAAAACTTGCATCTGTTTTGCATGTTGGTGGACTTCAAAATTATTGATTCTTTATGTGTCTGTGTAATTGTTCGTTATTTTTGTGGATCCTAGTCTTAGACTCAATTTCTTATTCATAAATTTTACTTTTTTCCTGTCAATCATTCCTAATTACTACTAAAATTCAAAGAGGATTTTATTTAAAGAAGGAAACTTCTTGTTCCTTATGGATAAGGAAGAAAATAGTGACAATAGGATGAGACCCCTGCTTGGAGTTTCCCATCACTATCCAACTCCTCCTGGGAAATTGAAGATGAATAGATAACTCTATGATTGGTAGGTAATACTTAAACAGAAGGTCAATAATCTTAAGTTTTTTATGTGAGCAATTGATATTGATGGATTAAAAATTATATTTCTCACAATGTTTGGTAAAATTAAATAATGTTTAGGCTCTCACATTATTTTCCCCTTTCTGCCGGGGCAGCCTTATCTTGAATCTGAAGGAAGCTACTAGTTCCAAGAATGGATGAGCTCCCATTTTCAACCCAGTATCCTCACGATGGGAGGATACTGAGGGATTCTCTTAGAAATGAATGATTTTGAAGGTTTATGAGGAAGATGAACATCTAAAACGAAGAAATCCCCTGAACTTTAGCTCCCTTTTTGTATTTAAGGAAGTTTATGTTATATTGAAGTAGTTTCTTTTATGATAAAAGCTTAATATTGCTAATTTGCTATATATCCTATGCCTGTCTCATAGGCAACATAATAATGTGGAAAAACACGGATTTACTCCCTAATGTAGTTTTTATATCTTCTATTTCAATATCTTTCCGTCTCATCCTTCAACTTCCAACTTGACGCACCATAAGTGTGTTTGTAACTCTAATCATGGTTGAACTGGAAATGTTCAGAGATGATTTTTCCTCTAACAGTTGACTTTTTTTTGCTCAAATAAACACTTGTAGGGATGGAGAAATATGGTGATCCGGGTTTGAGCCCTGGAAAACCTGATTGGAAGAAAGTGGTTATTATTTTTTATTTTCTTGGTTTGTTGATACATCATTGGACCGTTCAAGTTCAATGCTTCTGGCAGGTCAGTCAGCCGGAGAAGTGGGGTTACTCCACCGATTGGAAGAAAGTGGTTGTTTACTTTTTTGGCACCCAACAGATGTAAGTATGCTTATAAAAATTGATATAGAAATATAAAAACTCAGTAATGAAACTATATCATTCTTAACTTTTGTAATCGAGGCAACTAAAGTATAAAAACCCAGTAATGAAAATATAGCATTAGTTATTATGCTTGAAAAAATCTAGTTAAGAAGAAAGTTAGCATGTGTTTAACTGTTATGGTTAGTTTGAAAATGTTAATTAAAATAATTGTTCATTAGTAGTTAGTTAAATCATAACAGATTTTATATTACATGAGAAGAAAATGAGGTTTAGGTTTTAAAATTTTAAATTTTGATGAAAATACTTAAATAGATATGAGATAAATTGTTTTATGTAATTCCTAATGAGATCGCAATTACAATTCGATGTGAAATCGCATCAACAATATAAATTTAAAATCATTATAATCCACTTATTAATCCCTTATTAGAGTGAGTAAATCCTGTATAATAACAATCTAAAGTGGTTGTACATCACAATCCATTGCAAACCAATTTGATACAAGTCACAATAATTAGCAGATACTTAAGTTATAGTTGGAATCAATAGAAAATTTTTATGAAAGCTAATTGGAATATGTAACTTTTAAAATAAATGTTTTCAAAACTGAAAAGCCAAAACTTTGGTCAATTGCTAATGTATTAGGTTCTCTTCATTTTCTGGCATTGGCTACTTCTAGCTTTGTGTCAAATTTTCCTTTCTTAGCGTGCATTCATATTTAGATAAATCGATGTATTAAACGTAACAACTTCAATATTGAGTACATGTCATAGTAAACTTTTTGTAGTTGAGTATGATGTAAAGGATAAATCAATAACTTCACAACATTCAGTTCACTGCAAGTGCAATCTCTCTTTGATTATAAATCTACATAACAGCATTTGAAGTGTTATGTTTGTTATAGATAGATTTAACTTTGTGATATTCTTGGTATTTTGAGTACGACGTAAAGGATAGGTTTAGGTGTTAATACAATCAATTGTTGTTCTTGCAGGTTGAAGTACAATTTTGAACTCATTTCCGGCACCGAACAGAGCTATTGTTTTTGAAATTTCAAGGTAGGTTCTACTATATGAACAGACCTATCTCGGTTATTATAAGTGTGAAGGCACATTGATCTAATGGAATAGTAGCATGGAAAAATTATGAAGAGAGAGAAAAGATGAGGGTCTGTTATGTCTATGCTTTGGATTGAGTTAATTATGAAGGTGAACTTTCAAATTTGTTTAGATCATTTTAATGAAAAGAAGAGTTAAGTTTAGCTAGTTTTGCAATTCAGTTGGAAGAAAAAACAGTTAGCTAACCCCTTATTGAACTGCTAATGTCAAGTTGTTTTCACGTGTAATCTCTTGTATGCACTTTGTTAATTGTTGAATGCAACTTGAGACTTATTCATGTGATGGTTGTGAGTTTAATTATGCTAGTGAGTTAGAATTGGTAAAAGAGGAAACAATTAGGGTGATTAAAAATGAGAGTGGGAAAGGATACTCTTCCGGATGATCTACTTGCCTCGGCTCTCAAGGTAACGTCTTTGATTAAAGAAAATGATAGCAACACTATAAATTTGTCAAGCTTGTCCTCGATCCATCCCATGCCTCATAATTATACCACATTTGTATATATGGTATGTAAAACATTTGTATATATGGTCCTGATGTTCAGTACACAGTGAGTCTGATTCCGGTTTCTCTCTGTCCTATTTTGGGCTAGTAACTAATTTTGATGTGTTTTTTTCCATTTATTCTAGGGTGGAAAAAATGGAAGTTTCCCATATGTATATCATAGCTATGGATATGCACATTCTCCATACAATCCATATAATCTGTGCATATTGGGTGTTGTGATTGGAGTTGATGGCTCATTTGGTGGAGAGCGATCTTATTACACCTTCCTCAATTATCAACTGAACCAAGTCTTTCGAGTAACTCTCTTATTACACCTTCCTCAATTATCAACTGAACCAAGTCTTTCGAGTAACTCTCAAAAGATTGATGATTTGAGAAGTCAAGTACATGCTCTCAATGCATCATTGCAAAGACAAGAACAAGAGAAGTTGGAGATGAAGCAATAATTGCAACGGCAATAAAAGGAGATGATTGAAACGAACAATAAACTTTCACTGCTAATGAATCATTTAGGAATTGTTGTATCTTCTCATCAACCTCAAACCAATAATGAAACTGATCACCTAAATGAAGATGGTGTTGATGAATCAGATGAAGACATTAGTAGTGAGTTTTTATTTGGATTGTTTTTTCTTCTTAACTTGTCTGAAATTTGCATTATTTTTTTTTATTAACTTGGTTGGACAAGTGATTATTAGTAGCTTGCTTGTTTAATTTTTAGTAATGTAACTCTAGAAGTACTTGTTATTGACTTTATAGTAATGTATGCTTTAAAAATTTGAATGAGATTAGTGTTGCATTGGCTTATTCAAATTAGATTTTTATTTTTATATTATTGTTATTTTAAATAATTTAAATATGAATTAAACACAATTAATAATAAAAATTAAAAATATGAGAGAGAAATGACCTGCGAATTTATCTGCGGATTTTAAATTTGCTGTGACATTTTCTGCGATATTATCTGCGAATTTAGCTGTTTTATCTACGACTCTTTCCTACGACTTTACCTGCGACTCTTTTCTGCGACTTTAATTTTGTCAAAATCCGCATGAAAACAGAGTATTAGAGTATTTCTAATAATGAACTCACTTTATTCCGATTTCAATCTACCTAATCCACCTTGTCGCCTTTTCTCGAGAAACTTTTTTTTTGTAGTTGAGAATATCTTGATGGTATCTACACATATCTATTTTTTTTATCAAATATCATCAAAGGAATATTCATAATACATAAAAAAAAAAAGCGTATCAAAATACTTAGAAATAAAAAATTTGGTTTACAAAAAAAACATCACCAAAACACTTAGATGCAAATTATTCGATTAGTAGAAAAACTTAAATAAAAAAATACATTAAAAAGTTATCCGATTGACTTTTGTAAAACACTTAGATGCAAATTATTCGATTAGTAGAAAAACTTAAATAAAAAAATACATTAAAAAGTTATCCGATTGACTTTTGTAAACCGGATAACTATGGAACATATTATCCAGTGTGAAATATATATAATTCAGAAATCATGACTTTAAGTTTTCAGGTTTAGTAAATCAACCTATTGAATGTCTTCCGTTCAAATTATCCAATTCGTATAAACGAGAATTTTTTTCCACCCTGCCATACTTTTAGGGTTTATTCACCATAATGCCATCAATTTCACAATATATCCTAAAATACCATGTTTTCAAACAAAACACAATTTTTGCATAAGCATGCCCGCCCTTGCAATGGGCGGCAATGATGAAAATGAAGGAGAACCGCCCATTCATTGGGCGGTAGAGTGCATTCCTAATTTTTTTTTTGTTTTAATTAATGTATGTAGTTTTAATAATTTAATTTAATTTAATTAACAATAATATATATTATTATAAAAATATTAATATATATAAATATTAATATATATAATTATTAATATATATTATTATAAAAATAGATTAATAATATAAATTTTAATATATGTTAATATTAATAATATTAATATATATTAATATTTATATTAGTAATAATATAAGTATTAATATATATTATTATAAATATATCTTAATATATATTTTTAAATATTAATATGTAATATTATTAATATATATTATTATTAAAATAGATTAATAATATTAATTTTAATATATATTAATATTACTAATATTAATATTTATGTCATTAATAATATAAGTATTAATAATTTTAATAATAATATATATTTATGTTAATATTATTAATATATTTTAAAATTAATATTAATAATATTTATAATATTAATATACATTAATATTAATAATATTAGTATTTATTAGTATATGTATTATGTGACACTATTATTAATATTAATTTAAATTTATATATTGAAGACATAATTTATATTGATTGAAATTATTAACTAATATTAATTAATACATGATGATTAAAAAAAGGACTAACGACTACTTGTTCCCACATTGGGACACCGGGTGCGATTGTGTCCCGTTTGACGACACATGGAACATTTCCTCTCAAGCTTATCAAAGTTATCCATTTCTGTTGTAATACGTGTGCTTACAGGGCGACCTTTCTTGTTCCTCCGCATTCTTGGGTTATGGCAAATTTGATCTCCTTCATAAACAGGCCAATATTCATCGCATGGCATCACTGGAAAACTTGCGCTGTAAACCCCAAATAGGTTTGTAACCCTATAAACGTCGGACAAAAGAGTGTAAGCGTCGTGGCGCACATTCGAACATGCAGCGATAACATGTGAGCAAGGGACACGAAATGCTTGAAACTTTCCGCAGTCACACCACCCGTTCAAGAGGTCGACCTTATAATGTCCCATAGGTTTCCCCTCACCATGGTCCATTGTCTCTTGCACACTGAAAACATTGTTCCTGTAGTCAAAAATTCTTACTTGATGCGTGCTGGATTTTGTTGTTTCTTCTTTCATAACCTTGAGGCAGTTGTCTGTAAATGCTTGGCCAGAATTCAACACAGCACTCCACTTTCCACCCCTTTCAGCAAATAAAGATCCTAGTCTATAATACGTTGCCCTTACCAATGCCGTAATGGGCAAATTACGTGTGCCCTTAAAGACGACATTCATTGACTCGACAAGGTTGGTAGTCATGTGACCCAACGTCGACCGCCGTCAAATGCCCTTGTCCATTTTTCGGCTGGAATATTGTCAATCCACCTTAAAGCATCTGCATTTGCCATGCTAATCTCTGACCGATAGTAATGAAATGTTGGCTGGTTTAAAGCGTATCCTGAATAATTAAAATATCAAATTAAAATATTGACAAAGTAATATATGTTATTGACAAAATTTAATGAATATTAAGAAATATAGTTACCCATGTTAATTATTTTTTTCCGTAGGTTCCTGTCCTTGATTTCTCTCATAAAATTTTGTGCAATGTGTCGGATACAATAAACATGCACTGAAGGGGGATCCTGTTCTACGAGGAAATGTCATGGATGCCGAATGTTAATTAAATTAAATTAAATTATTAAAACTACATACATTAATTAAAACGAAAAAAAAATAATTAGGAATGCACTCTACCGCCCAATGAATGGGCGGTTCTCCTTCATTTTCATCATTGCCGCCCATTGCAAGGGCGGGCATGCTTATGCAAAAATTTTGTTTTGTTTGAAAACATAGTATTTTAGGATATATTGTGAAATTGATGACATTATGGTGAATAAACCCTAAAAGTATGGCAGGGTGGAAAAAAATTCTATAAACGAGGTACATAATATCCAATGTTAAAAGTTTCATACGGAGGGTAAAGATTAAAAAACTTAAAGTAAAATTAAGAAAGATAAATTAAAAAAATTTTAAAAAATTGTTGAGATAGAGAATAAGTGCGAGGTAGAAGGTAAAATTTTAAAAATCCCTCTAATATTCAATTTTCAATTTGAGAGTAGAGTACGTACACTCGATCTCCACGCGTGGGTCTCATTGCTAAGGAATGATATGCAACATAAAGAAACCGCACGTGCAAGACAGGTCTTGCATGCGAGACCCCCCAAAAGGTATAACGATATAAATGCTTGCTTCCGAGTTGGACTCCTCCAAAATAGTGCTAGTAGTTAATTTTTCCTCCGCAGAACTTAGTAAAATAAATGTGTATTTTTATTTGAGTGACATACTGGAATAAGTACAGAAAAAAATACAGACAAGTAAATTAGAAAAAGGGCCCCTGGTAGTACGTTTGATAGAAAGTAACCGTTATGAGATGGAAATGCAAATGGTAGACAGATACTGATAGTGGCATGCATTGTGAGTCTGTGACTATGTCCGTGATTTTGGTTGAGAGTGAGGGCCTGCCTGAGCCAGGAAGGATAACACAAGACAAGAGAGAGAGTGTGGAAGAACAACTTATTTCCTCTACATTGCCTTGTCTTGAAATGTCAGGTCAAATGTCTCCATAGCATCTTCACATGCTACTACTC